CACGCATACATACTCACAAATTGTCGGTAAAACAGCGGATTTTTGGAGTTTGATCTAGGGTTTAGGATCCTCTTAAATATGTATAAATATATAGGAAAAAACCCCGTCCCAAAAAACTTTATACTTTCTTTTAAAAAAATTCGCAAAGTTAGCATAAAAATTGGTCTTTAAACTAGAATACCCCCCTTAATGAAATGAAATAGTGTTAGAAGGAAAGGAAAAGAAGAGTAAGAGTTTTGAAATAAAGAGAATTAAATTCATTGATCTTTTATAAAATATTACATACGTATCGCTTCACCTTTGTGTGTTATATACATACCCAATTGTCAGATGCTGTGTCTGATTATTCGCTGTGATAATTAGACACGGCATCTGACAATTATGTATGTAACACACAAAGGTGATGCGACACGTATGTAATATTTTAAAAAAGACTGAAGAGAGCTTGATGTAAAGCCAAAACAATTATCTGGAAGCATTAATGTAATTTGTAAGTTTTAAAGTGTCAAAGATATCAAATCTTTGGTACAGTGTATTAAATATCACAAAAATTATTTTAAATTATTTGAACAATAATACATTCAATAATATATTCAGGTTCCGAGAATTAAAGTTTAAAATAAATAATATATTTTAATGGGCTAGAAGCCAAGCAAGATCTTCATGCTAATCCACGCGCGCGCGTTATATTCATATACTAAAAAATAACATTAATGCTACCAAATGATCATTTCGGTTTTACATTAAGCCCTCTTTAGTGGTCTTTTATAAAATATTACATACATGTTGCTTCACCTTCATATGTTATATACATAATTGTCAGATGCTGTGTCTAATTATCACAGCGAATAAGACACATCTGACAATTATATATGTAACACACAAAGGTGAAGGGACATATACTTATGTAATATTTTATAAAAGACTAATGAATTTAATTAGACACAGCATCTGACAATTATGTATGTAACACACGAAAGTAAAGCGACATATACTTATGTAATATTTTATAAAAGACCATTGAATTTAATTCTCATCGTTTCAAAATTCTTACACTTCTTTTTTTCCTCCTATTGCTGTTTTATTCCTTTAATTTCTTTTTCTCTTAATCACGGTAAAAAACATGTTTCGACATATCTGTGATTATAAAAAATATTGTTAGCAGAATTATAATACTTTGTTAAACAAAATCTGATACATGTAAGGAAAAAGTAAGACGAGAAATAGGAGTTATCGAAATAGGAGTTAACATGCCTTTTTTTAGATAGGACATGAGATATACGTAAGAGATATATAAAAGTAATTAGATATTTAATATGATTTGTATTTGTGCATACGCGCGCGCGCGCGCGCGTGTGTGTGCGTGTGTGTTATGTTTCGAGATAGTGAACAAATGGCGCGCGCTTTGTTTAGTATACCAAATGTTTGTCTAGTATACCAAAATATACGGAAAATTGTAAAATAAAGATTAATAAAATAATCGCTGTATTCCTTCTTTTTGTATGTGTAAAAGGATTAGACATTCAGCTGTTTTTTAAAGATATTAAGAAACACTCAAAAATTTTTATACAAATGTGCAGAAAATAGTCTACTTTTTTTAATATTTAAAAAAATTGATTTTTTATTATTTTCAACTGCACATTCTCCCTTAAAATTTCAGAGTGTATTTGGAGATTTTAACGTTAAAATATCGGTATGTTTTATAAATTTTACAAGTTTCTTTAAAAATAATTTTTGTGAAGCTGATTATCTGTACACATAATAGATAAATTAAAAATATATTTATATATATTATAAAATTAAGGTTTGTATCTTCATTACTCTTCTTAAATCGCTCGATTTCACAAATATGGACGTCTACTGTAGTCAAAATTTTTCTTAATATACTATAACATTCGGAAAACCGTAGAACCGTAGAAATTGACTTGATATTAAACAGAATTAGATGTCACAGGTATAGTCAAAGATAATCGAGAAAGAGAGGGGAGAGAGAGAGAGAGAGAGAGAGAGAGAAGAGAC